TTTTTGGAAACTGCGATACTTTTTTCAGGATTCTTTGATGAATAAAAAGTTAAAAAGAAGAGCATTTATTTAAAATAGAAATCTTTTCTAACAACATACACTACAGTTCAAAAGTTTGGGGTCAGAATTTTTATTCTTTCTTTTTTTTTTTTGAAAGAAATTAAAACTTTTATTCAGCAAGGATGAGTTAAATTGATAAGAAGTGATCGCAAAGATTTATATTGTTAGAAAAGATTTATATTTTGGATAAATGCTGTTCTTTGTAACTTTTTATTCATCAAAGAATCCTGAAAAAAGTATCAGTTTCCAAAAAAATATTTGGCAGCACAACTGTTGATAATTCTAATAATAAATCAGCATATTAGAATGATTTCTGAAGATCATGTGACACTAAAGACTGGAGTAATGATGCTGAAAATACAGCTGCGCATCACAGAAATAAATTATATTTTAAAGGATATTAAAATAGAAACCATTATTTTATATTGTAATAACATTTTGCAAGATTGCTGTTTTTTTCTGTATTTTTGATCAAATAAATGCAGCCTTGATGAGCAGAAGAGACTTCTTTAAAAACATTACAAGTCTAACTGATCCCAAACTTTTGCACAACAAATGCACAATAATTCCCTTCTGAAAACCCCTTCATGTCCTGCAGAGTGTGTCAGTGAGATGAAGGTCTGCTCACGTCTTTGTTCTCTGTGTTGACCTCGCTGGGATTCTGGCACTGGCTCTCCGTGAGGTTGGTGATGGTTCCCGTCAGATTGGCCAGAATGTACTGAACGAAGCGCGTGACGCTGTGAACTGGGCCGTGGATGCGAGGACCAAGACCGATGTAGAACTGAGGAGGACCAGAACCTAAAAACCACAGGAGACACACGCAGTCAGAAACATGCTGATGCAAAAACCACTTATATCTGCATCTGTTCCTCACGTGAATCAATCATGTGACTTCTGAAGTCTAGAAATACAGTGGACTACTGATATTTGCTGCATGCATCCCTCAGGAGATCATTTATGCGCTGTGTGTTTATGTGTGAGAATGCAGGATAAACACAGATGGTCTCACTCAGAATGCTGTTGTCTCCTTTCTTAGTGACTTCAGGAGGCAGCAGCGACCGAAACCAGCTGTTATTCTTCTGAATTAGAAAACCGTACAGCAACTGAGCGACCTGAGAGAGACAGAAATAACGTCATAGCAAATAAACAATGTAAATGTTAAGTTTAATGTCACATCTAAAACAAAAACATTGTTATTCAATTTTAAAAATATATATTTTCATAAGTAAAAATTATATATATATATATATATATATGCATAAACATTTAAATGTATAAAAATATTTAAATCATTTAAAACATTTGAATGTTATTATATATAATTATATATATATATAAATATTATAGTTATTATATATATATGAGATATTTAATATAAATATCAATACAATATATTTTATAATTTGAGTCTGTGCTGGTCGTGTGACTCACGATCTTGGGGTCGGCGGTGATGTTGTTCAAGTTTTTCTCCTCTCCTCCGGCCTGGATGTAAAGTGAGCGGGCGACTAGTGTGGCCACTTCAGCCAGAGACTGAGTGAGGAAGGAAAGCTCGGATGAGTCTGACCGCACTGACACTGATTACAGCACAGTAAACACATCAGTAGGAGTTACACACCTTGGCCGCGTCCGTCTCGTACACCAGCTGCTCGTCTGGACTCAGGTCGGGAGGATACGTGACGTTCAGGTTCTCTGCGTCGTCGTACAGACTCTCGTAGTATCTGATTCAGGTACAGATGACAAAAAACACGCTAAATGTGTCTTCAGACGCATGACGCACACGATCATAACAAAGGCTTCACACAGCGACAGAGTTCATATCAGTCCGTCAGGAAACACAGTCATGTTCAAAAACAGCTACAAGAACTCGACGCTGGATTCAACGACATTTGTGTTCATGATATTAAACCTTTGACAGATGTTCAGGTAGCTGATGTATGACATGACCAGGGACTTTTTAAAATCAATATCAAGATTACTAGGCTAAATTTGTCAGTATATAAGGAAAAATAATTTTAGTCACCTTTTTGTCTTCAGTAGTTCATTTTAAATAGTTCTGCGATGTGACAAATAAATAAAAATTTTATTAAAATATTAAACTATAATTTAAAAAAAAATTTAATTTCATTATTTTATTTATTTCCAGATTAGCACCTTTTTTTGTCTTCAGTAGTTCATTTTAAATAGTTCTGCGATGTGACAAATTAACTCTAATAAATAAAAATATTGTTTATCTATTCATTTATTAAAGTTAAATTAAATTAAATTAAATACTAAATCAGCAGAACATGCTATTTTCATGGCACATTAAATAAAATTAAAATATATTAAAATAAGCACAATAGCAATAATATTTCAATAAATAATGAAACTTATATACAATTCAATAATATTTTCCTTACAAGAGTATAGAAATTAGAGCAATTATTTCAGTTTGATATCTGATTGAAAATCCAAAATTTTCCAGGGAAAAATTGTTGCCTAATATAATTTAAAGCAAGCTTCCCAATAAAATATTGTTTACTGTCAATGAAGTCTTACAAAAATCACATGCTGGCTAAAAATATTCTGTGTATCAATAAATCACGTCATCATATGTTTCTCCATTACTTTAACAACTTATATTTAAAAATGATTTTTAAACTCAAATTTAAGACTTTTTAAGACCTTTTTTTAAGACCTGCACAAATAAAATGAATACCATATGAGCAGGGTAGGGCAATGTCTATAGTACCATATTAAACGGTAAAATTACTGTAAAAAGCATAATTTACAGTTCAGATACAAGTTTTCACAAAAACAACGTTTTATACTTTACATTTCAGCCTTTAAACCATTGTTAAGAAAAATGGATGAGTCAAAAGTCTTAATTATATTAATTTAAACAATTATCAATAAATTATTATATCAATTAAATAACAAATTAGGGGTGTCTGGTAAATTAGGTACTGACAAAAAATATCTTAATATTTTTCTAGAATTTTATTGATAACGATTAAACGATATTTTGCTGAGTGTGTTATTGTGCTGGTATCTTAAGGACTGCCGTGGACAGCTGACTCCTGAATTTTTTGATATTCTTCATATTCTGTGCTGGTCAGTTCACAGCAGTAATAGAAATTAATAACTTCCAACAAGTTTTATGGGCATTTTTACCTTTAAGCCATTTTTTCTAAAAGTGTGCAGCATCTTTTAAGTCAAATTCTTGCATTTGGGTTGTTACCAAGCAAATTAAATCAGTATCAACTAAATCTATCTTTGCAATGCAGAGGAAACACAGAAGCTGCATTAGAAGTGTCATTTAGATGCATTTACACACTGTTTAATGCAGCTCTGAGGGACATTAAATACTTTAACCTGCCGTTACAAATGCATAAATAATGTTTTGATATTTCAAACATAACACATTGAAAACTGATGTTTGAAATTATTTAAATAATGAAAAGATACCTTAAATGTGAAATTAAAACCGCCAGTAGGTGGCAGCAAGTCACTGTTAATAAGTGAGTCATTGCGATTGAACCGAATCATTTAAACGCTTGATTCATTCAGGAACAAAACACTGTCATGTTGCTCAGAGACGAAAAACAGCGCTGTGACTGTGTTTGAAATTATTTTTGTTGGAGAAATACAGCAAAAACAGGAAATATGGCGTCTAAAACGTAAGTCTCTGAATATTAACTACTTGTTTATTGAACTGTTGTATAAAATCAATATCACATTTGTAATCATGCTTACTTTTGGAGAAAAAAAGGCACTCATCGTGTGATATTAACTATATCAAATGATTTAAATATATACATTTTCTGCCCCATATCTTAAATTATGTGATAATTCTTAATGCATTTTAATAGACCGATTCATGCAGTGAAAGAATGCACTCTAAATGCGCACGCGCACTAGTCTAACCTACTAGACTGCATCACCTAATGTATGCGTGCACTCTGTAGTTGTGTTTTGTGTTTGCTTTTCGCGATATACTCATAATATCAAATCGCACATCGTTAAAACAACAATTACGATATTATCTCAGACCATACATATCACACACCCCTATACTGTTTAGATTTTTATATGCATTGTCTTCTTATCGATCCACCAGTTCACATTTAAAGCTCTGCGTGTTTGCAGACTTCTTGTTTATTGAACTGTTGTATAAAATCAATATCACATTTGTAATCATGCTTACTTTTGGAGAAAAAACGGCACTCTTCGTGTGATATTAACTATATGAAATTATATAAATATATACATTTTCTGTCCCATATCTTAAATTATGTGATAATTCTAATCTAAATGCATTTTACCATATTGCCCCGAATATAAGACGAACCTGATTATAAGATGACCCCCCTTTTTCCAGATGTACCTTTTGGAAACAAAGGGAGTTTGGTCCCATCAGGCTAACGTGACAGTCACGACTCATGCAGCTGTAAGGTTTCCTTTTTCCTTTGTTTTTACTCGTGATCTTTACAACACGCATTACATTACGTATTTCATGGCACACTCGTTTTATGCGTATTTGGCGCCACCTATTGTTGTGGGTGTATTATTGACATGCCAAAGTCTAGACCCTGAATATAAGACGACTGCGTTTTTTCAGATGTATTTCCAAGAAAAAAACATCGTCTTATATTCGGGTCAATACGGTAATAGACTGATTCATGCAGTGAAAGAACACGCTCTAAATGCGCACGCGCACTAGTCTAACCTACTAGACTTCATCACCTAATGTATGCGTGCACTCTGTAGGTGTGTTTTGTGTTTGCTTTTCGCGATATACTCATAATATCAAATCGCACATCGTTAAAACAACAATTACGATATTATCTCAGACCATACATATCACACACCCCTATACTGTTTAGATTTTTATATGCATTGTCTTCTTATCGATCCACCAGTTCACATTTAAAGCTCTGCGTGTTTGCAGGGTAAAAACAAGGGTCGATTTTCACATTTGTCTGAACAAAACAACAGTTTTATTGAAAATGCTCATTCATTCTCTGCCAGCAGGTGGAGCGTTTGGTAGAAATATAACTGTTTTGCCCATAGACTGTAACGGCAGAACACAAAGCAGCGCAGCACCCGACTTTGAACGCGCAGTGCTTGTGTTTATTCAAAGAAATCATAGCCTTTTGACGTTTAATCGTCACATTTAGCCATATCGCAATTCTGGTCTTTCCGTATCCAAATTTAAGACCTCTTAAAATCATAATTAAGACTTTCTTATACAATTTAAGACTTTTTAAGACACCGCGGAAACCCTGACTTAAGTTTTTAAGTTGGATGAGGTGGAAATTTTACAGTACATGTATAATAATGAAACGATAATAATCAAAATACAGTAGAAATAGTTTTAGATGTTCAGCACGTCACCGCAGGACGTCAACTAAAGTATTTTATGTTTGTTCTCAAAGTTACATCCAACTTCAGATTTACTAACACTTAAAAATTATGCCAGAATATGATGTGACGGATCAGAATAAGTCACGATTATCATTATTATAGTTCCTGAAGATCATGAAAAGAGTCAAGACTCTTTAACTTCATTAGCAGACATCAGTCATGATCCGACCATGAAACATTAAAAAACTAAATCACAGATTGATTCTGATTTGAGACCTGTTGTTGAATGAGGTGTTATGGTCTGCCAGCACGAGGCCTGGGATCCCTCTGACTCGCAGGAAGCGCTGGAAGGACGAGGGCGGCAACGGCTGACTGACCGACGGCTGATCCACTGTGAGGTTCAGACCAGCAGCAGCAGACTGCACTCTGCTCATCATCGCCGACACCTGAGAGAGAGAGAGAGAGAGAGAGAGAGAGAGAGACAGAGAGAGAGAGAGAGAGAGAGAGTGAGGGCGAGCGAGATAATGCATGAGAGAAGAGAGAGAGAGAGAGAGAGAGAGTGAGGGCGAGCGAGATAATGCATGAGAGAAGAGAGAGAGAGAGAGAGAGAGAGTGAGGGCGAGCGAGATAATGCATGAGAGAAGAGAGAGAGAGAGAGAGAGAGAGTGAGGGCGAGCGAGATAATGCATGAGAGAAGAGAGAGAGAGAGAGAGAGAGAGTGAGGGCGAGCGAGATAATGCATGAGAGAAGAGAGAGAGAGAGAGAGACCCCGCACCCAAGAGAGAGAGAGAGAGAGAGAGAGAGAGAGAGACAGAGAGAGAGAGAGAGAGAGAGAGTGAGGGCGAGCGAGATAATGCATGAGAGAGAGAGCGACAGAGAGAGAGAGTGAGGGCGAGCGAGATAATGCATGAGAGAAGAGAGAGAGAGAGAGAGAGAGAGTGAGGGCGAGCGAGATAATGCATTAGAGAGAGAGTGAGGGCGAGCGAGATAATGCATGAGAGAGTGAGGGAGAGAGAGTGAGGGCGAGCGAGATAATGCATGAGAGAGAGAGAGAGACAGAGAGAGAGAGAGTGAGGGCGAGCGAGATAATGCATGAGAGAGAGAGTGAGGGTGAGCGAGATAATGCATGAGAGAAGAGAGAGAGTTTCCTCTCCTCCTCACTCACCTGTGTGTCCACACTCTTGTTTTGGCGGGATACGGGGTCAGAGTGCATCCAGAGGCTCCGCCCCCTGTGCAGACCAACCTATTAAAACACAGGACACCTGTTACTAACATGCAGCATCTCAAACGACAAAAGACATTCGAAACAGGCAAAAGCCATTTACGTGTAACTTCAGTGGGAAACAAACGAATGACAGAGCAGATAATGTTAAATATTAAACTAAACGCTGCATTTCTCCATCACGCATTCATATAATTTCTATTCACGTGGTTTTATGGTTCCTAGAAAACTAATGATAATGATATTCCAAATGCACAGTCAAATAAAATCTGTTATTTGACATTCAATGCTTTTTTTATGATATAATAATAATTCAGGGCTCGACATTAATGCTTGTCCGGGACAAGCGGATTTTGTGAAGGGGCAAATGAAAGAGAATTTTACTATTAGCCTGATAAATATCTATTTATCAGGCTATTTTAATAACAAACTATTTATTATTTTAATAACAGGGCACGAGAGAGAGAGAGAGAGAGAGAGAGAGAGAGAGATAATGCGTGAGAGAGAGAGTGAGGGTGAGCGAGATAATGCATGAGAGAGAGAGTGAGGGTGAGCGAGATAATGCATGAGAGAAGAGAGAGAGTTTCCTCTCCTCCTCACTCACCTGTGTGTCCACACTCTTGTTTTGGCGGGATACGGGGTCAGAGTGCATCCAGAGGCTCCGCCCCCTGTGCAGACCAACCTATTAAAACACAGGACACCTGTTACTAACATGCAGCATCTCAAACGACAAAAGACATTCGAAACAGGCAAAAGCCATTTACGTGTAACTTCAGTGGGAAACAAACGAATGACAGAGCAGATAATGTTAAATATTAAACTAAACGCTGCATTTCTCCATCACGCATTCATATAATTTCTATTCACGTGGTTTTATGGTTCCTAGAAAACTAATGATAATGATATTCCAAATGCACAGTCAAATAAAATCTGTTATTTGACATTCAATGCTTTTTTTATGATATAATAATAATTCAGGGCTCGACATTAATGCTTGTCCGGGACAAGCGGATTTTGTGAAGGGGCAAATGAAAGAGAATTTTACTATTAGCCTGATAAATATCTATTTATCAGGCTATTTTAATAACAAACTATTTATTATTTTAATAACAAACAATAACTAGGGCAGCACCGAAACTTTGGCGAGAATGATTCTGATTTTATTACTTTGTGTAAACGGTGACTAATAACAGATAATGTATTGACAGTATCAAGGTCGCGTCAGTTGAGGCTCGTGCAGCCTGACTGATTCGTAACATTATTTATGCATTTGCAATTTTGAGTAAATGAATTTATGGAACCTCTTATCTTCATTAAACAGTGAGTAAATGCATCTAAATGGCACTTTCGATGCAGCTTCTGTGTTTCCTCTGCAGTGGAAAGATGGAGTTTGTTGATACTGATTTCATTTAACAATAGTAACAACCATATAGTGTCTTATTATTCTAACTTAATGTATCGATCAAATTTAAGAATTTGACGTAAATGGTGACATGTACATTTAATCAGGTTAGGAAAATATTGTCCTTCATAAAGTTAAAAAGTGTAACAGCAATCAATTTAAGGCAAATATCACAAATATGCTGATTAAAGTAATACTTGATAGAGCACTGATGAGACCTTTGCTTCAGAATAAATTACATTTACGCCAAAAAAAAAAAAAAAAAAAAAAAAAAAAAAAAAACACAAAAAAATCTTTTCCCTTAGACAAGTAACTTTTTTACTCGGACAAGTGAATGACTGATTTACTTGTCCGAAAGACAAGCACATGTCAAGGCTTAATGTCGAGCCCTGAATAATTCATGTTTTTTTTTTATTATTAGAGTGCAATTAATCGAAAATACAAAATAAGAATACAATAATCGAGATAAAACTGTTATTGAACAGCCCCCTTTCAAATCAGTAAAATCATATGTGATTTTTGCAAAATGGGACGTGCTTGATTTATTCAAGTTTATTAGATTTATTAATGTTTTTAAAAGCATGAAAGAGAACTCGAGCTGTTGCTCAGGAGGATTTCTGTGCACACGGAGCACCATATGTGCGCCTAAACGGTCAAATATATGCAGAAATTTGGTCAACCTACGGTTGTTTATAAATATGCTATATATAGCATAATATGCTATATGTTATAAATATAAACATAATAAAAACATCATAATAATAGAATATAAATCATAATAAAAAAAATATAATACTAACAACATAATATAAAAAATATATAAATAAAAATATTGTTATTATTAACAATAACAATAAAAGAAAACAATAATAATAGAACATAAATAAATTGTACCACCACAACAGCAGTAATAATAATATTATCATTACTAATACAAATATTTAAAATAAACTAACAACAATAATAAAAATCAACGATCAAATCAGTTACTTGACATTGTGACATGCTTTTTTAAATGATATAATAATAATAATTGAATACAAATAACCATAATAATAATAAAAAAGAATATTATAATAAAAGAATATAAATAAACATGGATGTGTTCGTACCTGCCCAATTTCCAGCATGGAGTGCACATTGTTCAAGTCAATAACAAAATCATTTCTTTCCATGTCATACACCATTTTTGAGCTGCCAATGTAGTCAAAGGCTTCCTATGAGAGAGAAGGAGAGCTTGTAAAAATATATAAAACTGTAATAAAATACACGAACAGATGCTTACTGCATACTTCTACTCATACAGCATCTCCGCTGTAGTGCATACTAGTGTACTGCATACTGCATGCAGCAGTACACAGTATATAGCGATAAACAAACAGGTCACATGACCTCATTATGTTACATGTGTAACAGCGAGTGGTTACAAATGTTAATATTCGCATCATTTTAAATCCAGTTTTGTATCAAAATGTCTTCACTTCTCGCAGTCAGATCTAATAATGATTGAAGAATAATGTGTAAATGATGATGCTGACCCCTTGGAAGAAGCTGAAGAAGATATTGTGAGGGGGCGGAGCTTCCTGAGTGACAGGATAGAGGGCTTGAATGGTGGCCAATAGGGTGACGATTCCAGACACGGTTCCTTCGGCCGACGGCGCCTGCTCCCAGAAAAACGACCTGCCGTCGAGCTGAGATACAAAAGAAGAGTGTTCGGTTCACAGCTGGAAACCTCTAGCAGAACATGAGCACAAATGTCGAATGAGTCTATTCCTCACCCGTGTGGCTGCGATGACGACGCTCTCGTTGGCTGCGTGGCCCTTGGCGCTGTTGTTGAGGGGCCGAGTGGACGTCCATACGTTAAAATCACTCAGCGGGTCACACAGGACTTCTGACAGGAGGCGAGACACATGGAAAGTAAGTATGATGCTCATAAACAGTGTCTTAGGCACAAAACTACACCTGTGTAGGTGAACAGATTTTCTCTGCTATAATTCACAAAATATATTTACTAAATGTTTTTAATTTACAGAAATTAGGAGTGTGCATATATTAAAATGAGTATAATTATAATTAAAAATAATAAAATAAAATATAATAATAAAAGAAGCATGCTGAATGTTCTTAAAGGTTCCTGCTCTTTTTAATCAGTTATTTCCTGGATAAGGGTTAGACTTTAACAGTCACACTAAGAAATACATTTGCAAAAAATTCTTTATTGTTAAAATTGTGTTCCTGACACCACACTGAGCAACTTCTCAGTTTTTTTCCAGATGACCCATTCACTAAGAGGATACAACCAGCCGGCTGACTTGCTCATTTAGGGTAACTCGGCATGAACTAAAGAGTATGATGCATTTTTGATGCATCTAAATTGATGGAATTTTTCACTTAAGCAACTGAAGTTTTTTTTTTTTATTAAAACATTATACAGACAGTATAATATGTTAACAATACCCATGATTTTATATATATATAAAATCTATCTATCTATCTATCTATCTATCTATCTATCTATCTATCTGTCCATCCGTCATCTGTCTGTCTGTCTGTCATCTATCTGTCTGTCTGTCTCACTGTCTGTCTGTCATCTGTCTGTCTGTCATCTATCTGTCTGTCTGTCTGTTTTCTTTCTATCTATCTATCATCTATCTATCTATCTATCTATCTATCATCTGACTATTTCTATCTATCTATCTATCTATCTATCTATCTGTCTATCTATCATCTGA